TCCAAAAATTCTTTTTTTAAATATTATTTTCGGAACTTGAATTAACTAAAAAAAATAAAAATAAAAAAAATTCTGTTTTTTTTTTTGAAAAATACGTGAAATATTCTAAATAGAATATTACACTGACATATTCTAAAAAATAATTTTAAAATGCAAAATAAATGGAAAAATCTAAAAATTCTTTTTTTAAATATTATTTTCGGAACTTAAATTAACTAAAAAAAATAAAAATAAATAAAAAAAATTCTATTTTTTTTGAAAAATACGTGAAATATTCTAAATAAAATATTACACTGTACATATTCTAAAAATAATTTTAAAATGCAAAATAAATGGAAAAATCAAAAAATTCTTTTTTTAAATATTATTTTCGGAACATGAATTAACTAAAAAAAAATTAAAAAAAAATTAAAAAAAAATAAAAAAATGCATCTCACGGTCTCACAAAATATAAGTGGTCTCAAATGAACCTATATATATATATATATATATATATATATATATATATATATATATATATATATATATATATATATATATATATATATATATATATATATATATATATATAAGGATCCTTGTGAATTTGGTCTTAGAGTACCCACCAATCAAACCAATAGTGGTTGCATCCTCTATTGACTAACAACACAAATTCACACAGACCTTCCATAGTTCTCAGCATTCGCACGTAAATTACTATGATATATAATTATATAGCCTCAGTCTCAACTCCATACCATCTCTGTCACGCACATTAATTAAGCACCATGAAAACCAGACCATCAACATGCATGTCCTTTCGATCCATCCTCAATCATCTTTTACTTATGAGTTTCTGTCATTTCACCATATTACATGCAACTGATCCTCCCTTATCCATGGAGTACTACAAGACGACTTGCCCAAACGCAGAAGCCATAATCAGGAAAGAAATGGAATGTGCTGTCTTAACCGAACCCCGAAACGCTGCCTTCATCTTACGTTTACATTTCCACGACTGTTTTGTACAGGTTCATCAACTACTAAAATATGTTTTAATCTTCTTTTGATTAATATATGAGGTTTGCATTTAGATATTTCTTGTTTTATTGGCGCTGTATGCAGGGATGTGATGGGTCAGTGTTGCTAGAAGACACAGTCACGTTTCAAGGAGAGAAGAACGCTCCCACGAATTTAAAATCGCTGAAAGGCTTTGACATCATAGATAGGATCAAAGAAAAGCTTGAATCCGAGTGTCCTGAGACTGTTTCTTGTGCTGATGCTCTTGCTATCGCTGCAAGAGATGCTACTGTACTGGTACATGAACACCAACATCAAGAATTTAATGAATTTCTGATATATAAGTAGTTTGTGATTTTTGTTTGTTTTAAATGCTTTTGGCTTGCGAGTTCAGGTTGGTGGACCTTATTGGGATGTCCCAGTTGGGAGGAAAGACTCGAAAACAGCTAGCTTTGCTGAGGTTGAAACAAATATACCAGGTGCCAACATTGGGCTGCTATCGATCATCGCTAAGTTCATATACCAAGGTCTATCTGTCACTGATATGGTAGCGCTTTCTGGTAAGCAAACCTCAATTGATATACGTAAGTAATTAAATGGGTGGGTCGGGTGGGGTTGGGTTGGATCGACACTTTTTTCTAATTCTCTTCCATGTAGGTTGATAATTCACATATACAAATATATAGTTACAGAAAATGTGATTTAAGGTTTTTATATAAAGAAATTATAAGTTATTATGCAGCGAGTAAATTTTAAAAGAAAATTGCAGACCCAAATTCCTTAATTATAAGTTATTATATAAAGAAATATATAGTTACCGAAAATGTGATTTAAGGTTTTTATATAAAGAAATTATAAGTTATTATGAGCGAGTAAATTTTAAGAGAAAATTGAAGATATAGCCAAATTCCTTAATTACTTTATGAAAAAAAAAAAAAAAAAAAAACTTAAATTACAAATATAGTCATTAAAATCGCACATGGATTAAGTCCGTCTGCGATTTTAGCATTTCATTTGCGAATGTACAAGTCTCTAAAACACAGTCGTGCTTAGCGACATTACGTTCGCAGGTGTTTTTTTTTTGTTTTTTTTTCCGTATAAATACCCTCATTTCTGACTAAAATTGCAGATGAACTAAGTTCATATGTGACTTCCTCTCATCCGACTTACGATTTTGTGTTTTTTCGTTTTAATTTTTTTTTTAAATTTCGACTACAAAATTGATATAGTTTAACTACGAAACTACCTTATTATATATAAAGTTTTGCAAAAAAACTATCAATTTAGTTCTTATTTCTTTGGAATATTTGTTTAAAACATCTCTAATAAAACAAATTCTCCAACAAAAACTTTGAAAAATAAAATCGTCTATAGTGCTTTCAGAGAAAGTTCTCCAAAAAAGAAGTTTGAAAAATGAAAGAAAAAAAAATTATATTTTTATACCCTTGGAAAATGGGAAATCATAAATGGATGCAAAATCACAGATGAATTGAATCTATCTATGAATGTACAAGTACCTAAAGCACATATATGTTTTAGCGACTTGTACGTTTATAGATGGACAAGTGAAATCATAGATGAACTAAATGGGTATTTTTGTAATTTGAGTTTTTTTCCACAAAGTAATTAAATGATTAAGCTAATTTTATAATTTTCTCAAATTTTAATTTACAAGTTTTACCTTTTCAAGTTGTTTCTTTTTTAAAACTTTAATTTTTCTTTCTATTTATAGGATTGTTAACAATAAAGCATAATATAAATACAAATTATCAATTTTTAGATCAATTAATTAAAAGTGATAAAATTTCAGAACATATCAAACCGAGTGAAGTAGCTAGTCAATTAACCTTTTCAATTTTTTAAATATATATAATTACAAAAATTATAATTCATTTAATAATCCACTTGTATATATGTTATTTGTAATTTTTAAGCCAATTTTTTAATGCGTTTTAGTTAAAAGAAAAACATAATTACCTTAAGAAATATACAAGCAAAAGAAGCTATTCTTTTTGGGCCACAAAAAATAAGCCTGTGCATACATATATTATAGAACACATCAAAAAACCTATTATGTAGTTTCCTGGGCTTTTGGTCCGTAAATTAAAATGGTAATATGTCACACGACCAACATAAACCAATATAAGAGAATACTATAACCTTATCGACGTATCGTCCTATACAAATGGATGAAATTTTATAAAGAGTTTATTATGACTGAAAATGGCGCTCATGTATGTTAGTTACCATGTAATTAATATGGCAGGTGTTCACACAATTGGCATGGCTAGGTGTACAAATTATCGAGGGAGAATCTATGGAGACTATCAAATAACATCCCTAATGAACCCGATCGCTGAGTCAAACCTGAAGAACTTAAAGTCAACATGCCCAGAAGTTGGAGGAGGGGACAATCATGTAACTGCATTGGACTACGTTTCACCTAATCTCTTCGACAACTCATATTACCATTTACTATTGAGAGGAGAAGGCCTTCTTAACTCGGATCAAGAACTGTACTCGAGTGTTCTTGGTGTGGAGACAAGGAAACTTGTGATGAAATATGCATTAGATCCAATTGCATTTTTTGAACAATTTTCAGAGTCAATGGTGAAGATGGGAAACATTACAAATCACGAAACTTATATCGATGGTGAGGTCAGAAAGAATTGTAGGTTCATCAATGAATAAAACTGGTTGTGTCTTCTTGTATCTTGTGATTTGTATTAATAAGAATGTGTACCAAGTGAAGAGTGTGAATAATAAAAGAAGAGTATGAGTTAAACCCATAAATGCAAAGCTCTCTTCTTCGTATATATTTGACATCCACCCAAAAATGTTTAGGTATATTAGATTTATTTGTTTTGAACTTATTGGAATCTAGCTTATATGTGTAATGTGTGTAACCTATGCATCCTACTGATCCTAGGCAGATAGAATCTAAGATCAAATAGTGAAGGGGAGGATAAATTAAAAGCAATCCATAATGGTGAATGCAAGTTCAAAATCAAAATTTTGTCTTTATTCTATCGACTTTAGTAATGGAAATAATGATAAGAAATCAAGAATGGTTTGAAGCAATAAAATTTAGTAATAGAACCTATAAGGGGTATTTTGGTCATTCATATGACTTATTTCAATATTTTGTATAGGTAGTGTTTGAATAGTGTTGTTCTAAGGAAACAAACTACAAGAAGACTAGCTAACCAAGGTGTGACTAAGGTGAGCATGTGTTGACATTTTCCCACTTTGGCGGTACATAGCTAAATGATATTATGATAATGAAATACTAGTGTTTTAATTTATGAAACATTATCGAAATGAAGGTGTTAAATACTTTTGAAATGAATGTTTTCAAAGAATGTCTTGAAAGCAAAACGTTTTGAAAGCTAATAATGTTTTGGAAGAATGAATGTTTTGATAACATGTTTGAAATGTTTTGAAATATAGATGTTTTACTTTGAAATAGGTCTTTTGAAACTAATGTATCGAATGTGTAAAGCATTGAAAGTATTGAAAATAATTTATTGCTCGAGCTTAATATCCTCCTAACAGGAAATATGTAGAAATTGAGTTTGTACCATTGGTAGTGAGTTAGAAACATCAAAGAATGAAACAAATTGAGCTATTTAATTTATTAGCAATCAATTAGCTGAAAAGGGACATAATTAACCTTTGGTAAAAGTAAAAAAAATGAGACAAGAATCTGAACTCCAAATTTATTATTCAGAAAGTAGTTAAAGTTGGTTATTTAGGACAAGCCTATGTTACTACATAGGAATGTAAACTTCAAAATTACAAGCAAGATCCAGTCTTTTGTTGCAGGTTATGACATACATAATTCATTGCTCAAATAAGTTTAACTGGTCTAAACTTCCCATTTTATGTCCAAGTCACTCTCTAATCACCCATGACAAGTACTTCCACCTGGCATAATAGCATTGACGAAGGGTATATTTTGTTGTGTCATGATTTGTACCCTGAGGAGAGAAAATTATACCCTAATATGGATCAGATAGGCTTACATTTTTCCTCAGAAGGAGTCTCAGAGTCATTTTCTGATTGGGGAAGACGTAGGGCAAGTCTAAAAGATGTTGCATTGATAACAACCCTAGAATGTTCGTCTCCAATTGTTTCGGTAATGGTTTGAGCATTGGAGTCAATAGTGCAAGAATAATAGAACTCACATACATGCTTAGGGTATAATGGCTCAAGAAAATCTCCAAATGCATAGCGAAGGGGTAGCTTCTGATGTAGTTAACAAAATCTTCAATCCCTGAGTTCTTGTATTGATTTGGGATGATATCAAGAATGCAGCGTTGTTTTCTTAGGTGTTGTTTGTTTTTTGAAAAAAACCTCTTCAAACCTCTTACTGCTGCGCGGTGCAGCACACGGGCAGCACTTTTCATATTGCAGTTGTTTGTTTTTTAGAAGTCTTCTGAGCCAAAAACCTCTGCGCAAGCTCTATTTGGCGCAGCACTTGTACTGCCTCTTCTAACCTCTTCCAACATCTTCTTCTTCTTTTTTTATTGCTGAAATTTTGATTATATGTTATTAAAATTTTATTTCACATTTTTTTTTCGTTTATTCTTATTGAATTTATTTTTCATTTTTTTATATTCAATAATGATAATTTCTTGATGAAATATCATTATTTTTTACTAAAATATCTTTATTTTTTGTTGAAATATCATTTTTTTTTACTGAAATATCATTAATTTTTACCGAAATGTTATACATTATTAAATTTTACGTATTAAAAAGTTACTTTTGGTTTCTAAAATTAGTTTATTTTAACTTTTTAATATCTGCAGCAGTATGCAGATGTTAAAAAAACAAACACGTTTCTTATTATAATCTGCAGTCGTTTGGTCCACCTCTTCTACTGCAGAGGGTTGCAGAGGTGGTCCGCAGACTTCATGAATTTTTGCTTCAGAAAATCAAACAGCACCTTAGATAAGAGAACTGGAAGGGGTATAGAGACTCCATGGTTGACATTGTAACTCCATCTAGTACAATCCATAATTAATGCAAGCCAACGAGGATATGGAACGTAGTGCATTCAACGAATTGATCGAAGAAGAGTTGAGCAAAATCCAGTCTTTTGTTATAGGGCATGACATACACAATTCATTGCAAAAATAAGTTTAACTGGTCTAAACTTCCCGTATTATGTCCAAGACACTTTCAAATAATCAAATCACCCATGATAAGTACTTTCACTAGCACAATAGCATTGGCGAAGGGTATATTTCGTTGGGTCACGAGTAGTACCCTGAGAGAAAATTATACCCTAATCTGGAACGAATAGACTTGAATTTTTACTCAAAAAGAGTTTGGTAATCGTTTAAAATGGATAATTATAATATTATGGCGTTACTCTAACCGTTTAATTTTTAAGGATAATTAAACGCTATAATTATATATTAATATAATTATACAACATAACAATTAGTCTAGAAACTTGAACTTACAAGGTTAAGACTACAACGATTAAGGTTTTTAAGCAATGGTTAATGAGATACATTTATCATATTTTGCAAAATACTTAGCTAAAACCTTGTAATCGTTAAATCTTAAGTGAGCGAGAAAGTTATGTTTAGATCTATACGGGTTGACACCCCCACCGGTGGTTGGAAGAATCTCGCTGGATGATAATTGTCTAAACATTTACGACATTTGATGAAGCGTCGTGTGGGGGATAATTTTTCTTCAAACTCGAACCCTCGATGAGAATACAACGCAATGTTTTAGGTCAAAATACCTTAGCTAAGTTATTGTACATGGGTTGAACCACAACTAAACGTAGACTAGTCACATATATTTAATTATGGTAAGACCGATACACAAGTAAACTTGGGTTTGGTGGCTGATAGACTAAAACGCTTGGAAAAATAGGAAACTCAAAATAAGATCATAGTTCATAACACAAAGGAGAACACTTCAACGTACCAATAGCACCTTACACATTAAAACAAGTCAAAACGCATAATCTAAAAACACACCAAAATACTAAAATAAAGTTAGCATACAAATTACCCCAAAACGCAAAACAATCTTGGTTTTCTTAGATAAGACAGGAACCAAGTGCGCAACAAAAACAAACTGTAAGGACCTTCCGAGTTAAAAAAATAAGTTGAGACCAAACATACAAATTACCCCAAACCATAAGGATATTACATGAAATTTATTGAAGTTTAAGCAAGAAAATTATACATGCCAATCATTACATTGTTTAGTTCATCACCTTGTCAACAAGGTAGACAGACGCCAAAGCAAAAATATATGAATTAGAAATACAAAATTTGGATACAAAGTTACAGATTATTTGATTGTAAATCACTGATACAAGAATATGAGAATGTCCAAATGCAAATGCAAGATCGAATTGCAGTGCCAGTAGTTGCAGCAAAAATATCATGTTCCAATGTTTCGATGACTATCAACAAATTCACGAAATAAAGACTTGAGAATCCTTCCACCCTTTCCCCTCATATGTTTATGATTCTTCTCTCCATCACTGGTTCTGCTTTCCACATAATCAAATGCTGCATCACCCAGAGCCTTTAGCCATACAGGTGCCAAAGATTCCGCTTCCCCATGCCTTAAATACTCACCCGGTAGACTCCGCACCTACAACAAACATCCGTATCAGTATCAATATCAGTATCAGTATCAGTATCAGTTATCAGTATCAGGGAAAAGACGCAATCTGACCGCAGAATGTAGCCATCCACGTAAAGAATCCCAAGAGAGAAGAGAATTCCATTTTGTTTTTTCACTAAAACTGCATACGGCCGCCAACTGTTGCAAGATAGTTGCAGATTTGTGAACCTACAAGGACGAAAAACCAAAAAGAAATATTTTTCAATTTACAAAATAAACAAATCAATGAGATAGTTTGTTGCTATTTCTTGCATTTAATCGGATCCTTCCTGTGTTTAATTAAATTAATGGATTATTATTATTATTATTATTGTTTACCCTTGACATTGCGGAAACGCCAAGTAAGGCATACACAACATTTGATACAATCCCTTCCCCGCTATGAGATATTACTTGAACCACCATGGATGCAGAGTTGGATGTCACTGATTCCAGCAATGAAGTCACCCCAAACTCAAGAAAACCTACAAAACACAACAAGGACTAGTTCAAATTTCAACATTTCACATCCATCCATCCATCACCTTCAAATAACAACACAAACAAATACCCCCAAACCTATACATACTAAAAACTGCAATACTTAGATTAAAACTGCTAAATTAAGAGATTGTTGTAATCTAGTCTTTTTCGGATAAATTTTGTTAAAAGTAGTTGTAGGTGAATGATGCTCACAAGACATATACGACATTGCTGCAAGTGCTGCTCCACGATGCATAGCTGTACAGCATATGGCTGCTTTCTGAAGTGAAACTTCAAGAAGAGGACCAGAAGAAGCTACTACTTCCTGTAAATTGTAATGCATCAAAACCCCATAATGATAAGGGCATTCACGTCTTTTGCACACACAGAGAGAGAGAGAGAGAGAGTCAGTTTAACAAACAGATCCTAAACCTAAAGAGATAGTGAATTTAACCTTTGGACAGCTGCAAAGAAAGATTGATGTGAAACTACAATAAGCCTCCACAAGATCAGGCTCTTGATCACACACATAAGAAGAATTTATCGCCATTACAGATGATGCATGTGTAAATCTTTCAAGCGTACTCATAAATAAACCTCCATATTCCTCCTTGTTACCGAATTCTTCAATCACAATACAAGCTGTAGACACAGTAACAACTAATAAATAAATAATAAGAAACCCAAAGGAAAAATCTAACTTACCTGTTTTAATGTAGCAGTCATGAGTTTGAAATGCTGCAAAATTTGTTGATAGGTAATCCAAGATTTTGGGCAACAGTGTCACAAAGTGATGACCTGTAATGTAAACAAACGAAATGGGATTATTTTGGATTGTTTAAATTTTAAAACTAAAATATTGAATCTTGATTACCTGCGGATTTGATTGCCTGTGAGAGAGCCCTGCATGCTGCCATGGATAGGCTTGTGTTCTCAATGTGCTCCGACTGAAAGAATTTTTCAAGCATAGGCCAAAAGGTCTCGAGAAGGGCAATTATGGAATTGTCGATGTCAGGAGATGTAGAGAGAGGTGTTACAACATGACCAAACACCGTTCCTATCCTGAAACCATTTGTTAAAACTTAAATCAAAAGACTGGATAAATTCAGGAACTTGTTTCGTTGGATGGAATGGAATCATAAATGAAAAGAATGAAACAGGTAATGGAATGAGTCATTACATTCCATTATCATGTTTGGTTTTGTCACTTGGTCTATAGGAATGGAATGAATCTTTTCAATTATAGCAAATACAATGTATAGTTTTAACTCTAACTGATTAAAAAAAAAGGTAACCATTTCAAGAGAAAAACCTGTAAAACCCCCTCACTGAAGAGTTGACAAGATGAGTATAAGCAGCTGGTAGTTGCCTCAAAGTGAGGACATGATCCACATCAATCTGAACCAAATCAAGTCATGGATTCAGAAAAGTTTTTAATTCTTTTTTAGTAAAGATAAAATTCTTACAAGTTTTCCAATAGATTCGAAGCTAGGAGAAAGCAACTTAAGCAACAAATTGTTCCTTAATTCCGTGTTGGGAAGGTGAGCAAGTATTAAAGTAACAGCACCAATAACATCTTCCTCATCTTCTAAAGGTAAGTGTCTCTTTTCCAATCCCTGAAATAAGGTAAAAGACGTAAACGCCCTCATCATTCAATATAGCCGTGCCTGTGACAAATAAGGCAACTAACTAACCTCTCCAATCCACATTAACATTTCTAAACTTGAAGGTTTGTGCATAACTGCAGTAGCATCTTCACAGAATTTTCTAAAGGCAGTTGCACAAGCATGTGAGCATAAAGGTTCTGACATACCAGCTGCAAAAAATAAACTGAAAACAGAAGATCAGAGGTAGATATATCATATATTAAATGAAATTGAAAGCCAATGTATTTGAACTCTATTTTATGAAATTTTAAAGAAGAGAATCCTTACAGTAATGGCCTGGCATTAGTTACATAAGAAGACATCCACTTTGAATAGGAACCAATAACATCTACAAGTGATCTATGTACCTAAAATGTAATGTACACATGAAAAGATAGATTAAATTATATACTTGAATTCTGCATTATGAACAAAAAAAAAAAAAAAAAAAAAAAAAAAAAAAAAGACATACAATGCACATAAAGCCTTTTGGTTCGTATGATTCCCTGTCACATAAAATTGTCACCAAGTGCAAAACCATGGAGAGATCAAATGTTTGACCTTCTTGTAGTACTACATCAGCAACCTGGAAAAGAAAATTCATATTTTATAATACAATTTTGGAAAATAAAATA